GTTTTTTTTTGGGTGGTTCGCCGCCGACGGCATTTTTTTGGAAAACCTTCCCGCCATTGGGGGGGGGGTGGCCATTGCGGGGGCGGCCGCGGCCCCCTTTATTGGGGCGTTTCCGGCCCTGGCTTTTTTCCTTGAAAGTTTTTTTTTTTTTTGGGGGGGGGTTTTTTCGGGGTCCTTTTGGGGTTTGGGTTTGGCTTTTTGGGCCTTGGGTTCCCCTGAACGTTGGGATTGGGGGTTTTTTTTTTTTTCCCCTTCGGTTCCCTTGTTTTGGGGGCCTTGTGGCCCCAAAAGAAAGATTTTTTAGGGGGGGGGGGGGGGGGGGGGGGCGATATCAACTTGGCGTTTGACTAACTTTGTTTCGGTTTGGGGGAGGGGGGGAGGGGGACAGCCAAATACACTTGCTAACTGCTTAGCAGGCACGAAGGCACTACATGCCATCAACAACCCCGTCGATCTACATCCAGCACATTCCCTTTGTAAAAGCCCCACCGGCGGCGCCTAGACACTTCGGGTGAAAGAGAAATAAAATCTAAAGAAGGCTACCGGGGCGTTCTCGAAGTTTTGTGATTCGCCGCCGCTTTTCTCTGCTTTCGGGGGCGGGGATGTTCACAGAGGATACTTCGGTATCCACAAACCACACCAAGTCTCACCTCTCCCTCTCCTCCTGCGCTTGCAACCGCGGCCGCCCCCTCTCCCTCATCTACCCCGTTGTCCACCCCCATCTCGTCGTCCTCATCCATTGCACCGTCAGCAGCCGCCCCATCAGCACCGGCGGCGGCGGCGGCGGCAGCAGCGGCGGCAGCCCCTGCTTCCCCGGGAGCCGCGTTCCAGTCGATCGGGAAGCGCGTGACGCGGGGCTTGTCTGCCAGAATATTCCTCGTGATGTGCGCCGGGTCCAGCGTATCGGCTGGGGGAATACGTCCCTCCTGTCGATGAATGACACAAAATTGTGACAAGAAAAGGGGGGGGAGGGCAGCAGCGTTAGCGCTTTAGCGACATTCCGCGGGCCAGTATGTCAACACAAAAAAAACGCCCCTCCTGCCCGGCGGTGGCAACGAAAAAAAATCAAACCGACTACAGTACCAACAGCCAGCGCAATTGCCGGGAGCCTGCTGGCGAGCGTCGTCGGGGTGGCAAACAAGCGCCTACACAAAAACAAGAGTGCTGCTTCCCTTGTATACCATCACCAGCTTCCCTCTCTCGCCACAACCGGAAACACGGAGAAACACACACAGGAATGCAGCACAACATCTTACGGAATCCGACAGGAAGCACGGAACACAAAAACGGCAAGCACCGGCGGGCGGAGGCGCACCTGGATCTCTGCGTTGACGGCGGGGTCGTTGTGCTCGTTGTTGACGTAGTAGCCCACGCGGATGAACTCCCTCTGCTTGTAGCAGCACGTGATGAGCGTCACCGTCACTCCCACCAGGTCAGTCGGTGGGATCGTGGCCGGGTCGGGCGATTCTGCGGCACACGAGCAAGGGAGCGTGGGGGAGGGGAGGGGGGCGTACTCTCATGTTTTTCATGCCCTAGCGGTTAGACCATTGACCACGCGTCCTCGAGAGGACGGAGCATTGTTCCCACAGGACCGATCACCGATGGCCAACCGTTCCTTCCTACTTTGCGGGAGGGGGGCGTTCGTTTTCCGACATCCAAGTTTCCAACATGGAGGGACAAGGGGACAAGATCAAAAGCAGAAAGCCAATCGCAATTCCACGCCCGGGTCAAATTGGTGGTGATTGGTGGTGGATAGGGGCAGACATACCACCAAATCTCTATCGTCGCAGCAGCAGCCACAGCCCTCGTTGGCTTGTCGTCAAGAGCCGGGACAACAGGGTCGTTCGTTGACAGGCCTCTCGACAGGCGCAGCATGTACATGCGTGCACGGCGATATTGCCCACGCCATTCTACGACCATGCCGCTGGTGCTTCCCCCGGGCACAAAACGAAAAAAATACACAGCAGGGGCAAAACAGTAGTCTTGTCCAGCGCCCTCCCACCCCCGTTTCAACCACCCAAACCCCGCCCGCCCCAACTCCGCTCTGTACATCTCGTGACACCTGCTGTGAGGACGAACTTGTTGACGCCGATCGGGATTGGGCCGACGTCGACTTCCTCGAGCACCTGGTCATACTGAGTGTCCTCCGCGCTTCCGACGTAGATCACTTTCCACTCCAGATCTGTCGCCATGCGACCCGCGGGGCAAAAACGCATGAAGGTTTGTTGTACGCACACATACATAGCACCGCAAGTGGGGGGGCAGGGCGGGTGAATTGGTTGTGGGGCGACAGGGAAGTGACAGGAGGTTTTTTGTAAAATAATTATTTTGGATGATCTCGTCTTCGTCAAAATGTGTGTAGATTTGCTACCACCGCATTGGTTAAAGAATTGCGAGCGCGTTGGCTGTACAGCAGCAAAAAAAACAGCTGCGTTGTGTCCGGGGCACTCGATCTCTTCCCCGTCGCATGTGCGAATTGATTCGATGAATCGCAGCAATTTTCTGGTGAGTAAGATTGCCGCACATATGCATCCGCAATGCCAGTGCAGTTTATTCACTCGGGTATGACGGGAAAAGAGGCGAGACAAAACAAACGAAAAAAAGGGATCGTTATGGGTTCAACCAAGGAGCTTGAAGGGTAAAATCCCGGGTTGAAGACGGATCTGGTAAAAGGGATCACGATTTTTAAAAGACACAATACATGCAACGGCCCGTTGTTTCCCCATGCTGAGAGGAGTACAATACAACCGAGTTTTCGGGCCAAGTCGAGGTTGGTAACTGCTGTTGGGCAGGGCATCTCTTCGACTTCCGCACGCACGACGTCCGCCAACGAAATTTTCACCGCGCATGTAGTATGCATATTGTATGGTACGCCAAAGCCAAAAATCAAGAAAAATGGTTTTGTTCTCGGTTTGCTCAGGATGCACGACAAATTATTTTTCCCGGAACTAGCTGTTAAGACCGCCAAAAAAGAAAGCTTGGGTGGTCGATCCGTTGTCGATTCGATAGGCTAAAAAGCAATTCAATTACATCAGCCACACGCACAAGAAGAGCAAAGTGTCCTGCTCACGAGGCTTTGTTATGTTATATTGTACCGGGGACGTCACGATGACGCACAGAGCGGGGGAACAATATCCACGCGCCACAGCAGCACAGCAGCAGTAATTTTATTTTTTTTACACTCTTGTTTCCATGCTCCCTAAGAAAAGGACACATCACAAATCGTGAATTATCAGCCCTCGGCGTAAGCACCTCCGTGTACTACAGTTGAACATGTCTTATGTTGACTGAAACGACCGCCTGTTCTTCGACAGGCGGTAACCCATGGAAGCCTGGCAGGGAATGGGGATTCGACTGCTGCATCATCCCTACGATACAACTAGCCCGCTGCTGCTCCCGCTGCTTGTATCATATGCGCGCTGTCGTCCTCATCGGCAGTCCCAAAGCAAAATCGGTTCCCCATGAAGCGTACCTATCTATTGTACGAAGGAACCAACCTGCCGCAGAGAACGCTCCAGAGCATGTACTGCTGTGGTACAATGCCAGAGAGACCAAGAGGGATTTCTCTGAGGGGTGGTACGATCAATAAACTGGCAAGCGTGAGAGAACCAACCGCACAGCCATTGCGCCGGTCACGCTACGCACAGAACCAAGGGTTGGCGACGAACCAACTGCAGCGCTCCTGCCTCCTGCCGCCTCCAACAACACCGGCATTCAAAATTTGAAAAAAACATCGCAGAAATAATGGGGGCCAAACCGTCCGCTGCTGTCTTACCAGCATCCAACGCTTCGAGGCATTCGAAGGTGACCTCGAAAGTGAGAGGGTTCTTGAAGGCGGTGGGGTTGTCCAGGACGACGACGTTGGTGACGTTTACGATAGACATGGCGTGCGTTTGTCACGGACTCTCTGCCTCTCTCCGGCGCCCTCCTCCTGTCTCCCAGTGTCTCCCACTTCCCTCTCTTTCCCGAAAAGCAAACGCTTTTCAAATTTCAAGCTTGGCAAGCAACTGGCAAGACTGGATGGGCTTGACGGCAAAGGAAGGCGTGCAGATCGCTAGAAAGAGCGGGGTTGTCGTGTTCTTCTCCCGCGATTCAAAGTCTTGGCTTACTCGGATGTCCAGTGTAGATCCTGAGCCGTGGTGGTGTTGGAATGTGGTTGCCACTTTCGACATCGTAGAGGGGGGTACACAAACCGCGATAATTGTTGAACGGTGGAGGGGGGGGCACCGTGAGGGGGAAATGAAACGGTACCTGTCGACCTCGCGCCTTGTTCTCTCGAGAACAAATATCCCGTTCGACTGTGGGTATATCTCGAATGGGTAGTTTTTCTGTGTGTGTATTTATTATTCCTTAATTAAGTATGTATGTTGCGGAGCGGGCAGTCTTTCTGTGATGTTGTGACTGGTATCACTTTTAGCAAGACATTGACGGGCTCCTCGTCCCTTGGCCGGTTCTATGGAAGCCTGCTTCCTCCCTTCCGAGCAGTGCCGAGAGTCGCGTTTCAAACTTTTCACGCTTGAAAATTGAAAACGAGGGGACCGAGAGTACGCACCATCCTACGTACCATAGGCCATGTCGGCTCACTACACGGGAGAGATTGATCTGCAATTCCTGCGCCACGGGCAAGGACAATACCGATATCCCAACAGCGTTTTTAGGTCTGTGATGAATAACTGGCTTGTTGCCTAAGGTACAAATGAGTTTGGTTACGTGGCGTGCGTGGTATGTATATGGAATGTGCGCATGAAATGTTCATGTACGCGTATGTGTCGTTGATTCTCTGTCTCACACGTAGTGGCTACAATAGTGGCTTCGCGCGCTTTGATGCACTGTGGCAGCAAATTTCTCAATCTGTCAAACTAGGATAACGTGCGACGGTTCTCTTCGAGGACTTTTATTTGCCCACGTCTTCTTGCTCATGATGTGTCTCTCGCTGCTTGATTTCTTCTCTGGGAGCACACAGATACACGGGGAAATGGAACACAGGGATTAAAAGCGGGCTAGGCGTGTTCGAGGTCGTGGGGGGGAGCACATACGAGGGTACCTTCGTAGACGGGGAGTTAGAAGGGAAGGGTTCGAAACTATGGGCCGATGGACGACGTTACGAGGGGGAGTTTAACAGGGGGGAGTCCAGTGGGGAAGGGCATTTTACCTCTCCTGCTGGCGAATCGTACGTCGGAACGTGGGCCCTCAACAAACGACATGGGCGAGGCAAGCTAGTTCTGCCCAACGGCGAAGGAAGCTACGTCGGAGAGTTTCAGAGGCATAGGTAAGGAGCCATTTCACAAGCGGCTGAGGGTTTCTAGGTGAACGTACACGACCACCTGGCCTCGGGAGGTTCCTGTGTGTCTATATGTAGCGCGCCGCAAGGTTGTCTACGCCATATCGTGATTCTTCGACGACTCTTGTACACGCAGACCCTCTCATGGTAAACCTCGTCGTGCCAAAATGATGAGCACACAATCAGTGTAATGAATGCTGCACATGCAACAAGGTGCACCTTTCCAGCAGGAGGGAAAGTGGCCCCACCAACTCCGATCCGCACTGATGCCAAAAAGGTTTCACGGGGATGGCCAACTTGTTCTCGCGAACGGCTTTCAGTTCACGGGAACATTCTCCGGCGGCCTCCCACATGGTACTGGCGCTGCTGTGTACCCTGGCGGAAGCTTGTTCCATGGCCCATTCGACAAAGGCCGAAACCACGGACGCGGGGGGACGTACGTGTGCGGTGTCACAGGTATCTACTGGATTGGTGAGTGGGTAGAGGGCAAGGCGAAGGGGTTGCCGTCGAAATGGGAACTAGAGCTGGACGGCGACAAGAAAACCTTAGGGGGCGGAGGGGACAGCGTCGGCCAGGCAACGCCGGCGAAGCCTCGAGCGAAGGCAGAAAAGGGTGGTGGTGGGAAGAAAGGCGCCAAGGGTTCCAAGAAACCTGTTGAGGAGCCTGAGACGGATGCTGCCTACAAACCAGTAATCGCCCACGTTAATGACGACGGGGACGTCGCTGCTTTATGGTGTCGCTGTGTGCGGGACGTCCAGGTGTGTTGTTTTCATTTGGCGATGTACATACTTCGTACGTGTTTCTCAACGAGTGCTCGAGATGCGTAAGAGCGCAATCTAGCTGATGTTGAAGGTAGTGGGTTTCCGCATTATTCGGAGCCTGTGGCGCCTCGAAGAGTTCATTCGTCACTCCAAACACCATCATCACGGTTTAACATCTTATTCTTCGAGGTGATCATCAACTACGGTGTTCGCTCATGTTGTCGTCGCTGGTTTTTGTCACCCACGGAAGGACATGCCCCAACCACCGCCGATACCTTCAGAGCTCCAAGAAGGTGTTGTTGATGAGTTGACACGACCTGCAAAGGAGCACCCGCGAGAAGTCGTGTCCGACGAGAGCGGGAGGACACTGACCGTCACCCTGCACGAGGTACGCGCCTGTCCCAAGCTGTTGCTCCGCCCTTATCGATCCCAACGAAAATAAAGTGGTGATCAACGTTGTACCGACGATGGGGTTGCGGTGCGAATGAACGCGTGTATACACGGGGTTGTGCTTTTCAGCTCCGCGACCCTGTGTTGCTAAGCTTGCCGTAAAGTGACCGCTTCTACGTCCCGAAAACCAAGATATCACTCCCGATTTTTGTCCCTACCACTTTTTTATGGGACAAGCAATGCAGGTCACGGAGTCTCCGCAACCGGGTTCGATCAGTGATCCTGTTCCGTTCTTCGTTCGTAGACCTGACGCCACCGACGTTTCGGAGAGTCTCGGCCGGTTCCCAGTACAAGGGCTGGTAGCCCTGTTTCAGCGCGACGAGCGGTGCTACCCAAAGGGGACGTCCAGCGATGGCACGGCTCTTCTCATCGTGCCCGGAGAAAAGTCGGCGCCTGACACCCCCGCCGAAGAAGCTGAGGTTTCGCCACCCGCCAAAGGAAGCAAAGCACCGGCTGCGAAGAGCAAGGGGGGCGTCAAGGGCGAGAGCGAGCAAAAACCTTCCGGGGACGATGGCATCGAAGGACTATGGCAAGTGATCAGGAGCGAGGTTCAATCGAACCGCTGTCTCGTGATTAGGGCCGAGGAAAACTTCTCGCTTAGGACCCCACCGCTGTTTGACTCGGGGCTCGGCAAAACAAAAGCAGAAGAAGATGGAGAGAGGAAAAATAGTGTTCTAGACTCTGAAGAAAACGCAGGTGTCCTTGAAGGTGGAGTGCCGCCCGAAGAGGAGAATACGAGGGAAGAGGGTGTGCCAGGAGTCGTCCACGGCAGCTCAAAATCGGTGGAATTATTGCAACAGATCGAACACGCTGACGATGCGGGAGAGCAGTGCACGATGATGGTCCAGCAGCACTCCCCATTCGCTGTGTGTCTAGATTTCAGATTAGACTTGATGGAAACCCCAAAAGGAGAGAGCACGGACGGCGAAGGCGGCCAGGAGAAACCTTTGGAAGAAGAAAAGACAATGAGGATCGTCTTGTGCGGCAATGATGTTGAAGTTTCTGCCGTAATGCGCCTCTGGATCCCTCCTGCGGAACCGCCCGTTGGTGCTGCAGATAATGTCGGCATGGAGGCAGACCGCCCGACGGAAATGTCCGGAAGTGGTGCTTCTGGTGCCCTCGCGAAGGCCGGCGATTCGAGGCTTGGTGCAAAGGGTGGAGCCCTCGAAAACGCGTCTCCGACCACGTTGATCTCCCCTCGTAGCGGTGGAAATGCCATCGACGACTCTAGCAGCCCTCCCACAACCCCTACTTGGTACCTCCACGCAATATCGATTCGCTGTGGATCTTTCGTTGGGACGGTGCCGTGTGCGAATCCAGAAGAGATCGCCTTACGACGAAAAGGGTCGACTGCCTCTGCGTCGGAGTCATTGCCTTCGGCAGGAACCGCACCTCATCCGTCAAGAACAGGCTTCGACTGCGACTTGGCCGAGTGGCACGCCCTCGCTCTCGTCGCTAGCCCCGAACGGGTGCTCTCGCTGTGCATCGATGGAGAAGAACTCGAATTGAAACAAGACGCGGGAGGCACTGCTGCTGCAGCCGGCATCGGTTGCGACGAGTCGGAGCTATCGGCGAGCGATGCCGTGGTTTTGGGAGGTGGGGCGGGTGGGGAGTGGGCGAGTCTCGCTGTCAAGAACCTTGCTGTGTACAACGAATTCCCTGGCATCGACCAGCTCCGGGCGATAACGCAAGTATTCCGGGTGTGGAGGGAGCGGAAGGAAGCTGCTAGAGTGGCTGATGTGCAGGAAGATGAGCGCTGGGAGGAGGAGACTAGGAGAGCGGAGGAAGAGGAAAGGGAACCCGGTAAGTGTTGGGCGTGTCACCCACGCAACGAATCAGACGACCTGTAAAAGCAGCGGTGCTTCTCAAGAATGCGCACGACTATCGCAATGGTTGCTTTCACTCTCGATTAGCGACCAAAAATTGAACACATCAGATCGCACAGGGCGCTCTTAAAGAGAATAGTTTTTCTAGCGAGTGCAGGGTTGAAGGCGGACGGCCCAACCTTTGTTTTGCGTACAACGCCACATGTCTGACGAAGTACGGCGAGTCCCCCATCTAATGTTTGCGAAACGTCCTCCCTGTTGTATGCTTCTCATCCTTTGGGTGTTGCTTTGTACGCTCGTCACGAGGGGCAGGAGAAAGACCGGAGTGGGTTGTGGGGGCTGATCGCCAAACGATCTTGCATAAGAAAACCGTTCGCGGCGAGGCGAAAATAGACAAGATCGTGTTGCCAAAGGTGAGAGAGGGGACGAGAGGAAGCGTGGGAGGGAATGGTATCGATGTAAGAAAAATTCTACCTGTTTGTTTGCAGGGACATTCCGTAGGTGAATGGACGTATGTAGTACCGTCCAGAACAATAGAGCACGACGTTCACAACGTGTGCCACTTTCCAACCACGTCGGTGTCCCTCCGCATAGCTCCTCGAACAGCGAGCCAGCAACAAAGGACGAAGCTACCGCATCCCATTATCTCGCATGCGTTGGATCTCAGCCGTTCTCAAAACGGATCTGGAGCACGGCTGTCAACAACGAACCGAACGACCCTCCAACGCCATGTTGCTAGCAGGTGGCACTAGAGGGAGGAGACTGGGTCCTGAGGGTGGAGGACGTGTCGCATGGCGAAGGGCCAGACGAATATGGGAGCACCGGCAGGGCAAGATCGGCGGCATCAGCGGAATCGTTCGTGTCGCAAGTCGTGGTGCCCGCCACGACGGCCACGGACGAAGAGCGCAACACGTTCCCTCCGCTACCCGTGGAGACGGTGAAGCTGGAGCGGGTTTAGCTTTCGGCGGGGGCTTGGCAGGTGGTGCTGACACCATGGGCTGCGGTCTAGTAGAGGTTATCAGCATTTGACTTGAATGCGGAGAGATTCGGACTGAAACAATAGAAACAAAAAAATGATTCCATCTGGATACGGTTAGTGTGCGAATAAAGATCTAGAAACTCGGGGTTCCTCACGCGGGCAGAAGTATTTGATTCGAGAACCCTGCTTCCAGCTAAAAAAAACAATACATCGCCCGCAGCGACGGGAAGCAAGGACAGCCGCTGGCTGAGCTACACGAGGCGACCAGCCATCGAAAACAGCGGTAGAGGCCTCATAACAGAGCCACGGATGGAAAGATGTTCCCGCGCTTCTTGCCCAGGCATGTTGTTCCGACTGTGTTGCAAGCTTAGGATTACGGTAGGGCATATGAAGCAGCAAATACTTTCTCTCGTCTCACGATCGCACAGAAGCCGGGGCCCTCTAACTGACGGCGACACGCAACTGCCCTGTATACACACAAAACTCTATTTACAAGCCGGGCGTCCGGGAACATCTGCGCGTCGAAGAAGCACGCCAAATCGCCGAAGCTCTCTCTTCCCCGTGCCGTCACTCCAGCACCCACGCACGATACTGTCCCTCTGAGCCCCAGTAGTTTTCCGGTTGGCAGCGCACCGGCAGCGGTTTCCCGAGCGGGTGGAACTCTAGCGCCACGCTGCGAATTAGGTACCTTTTTTTGGTCCCACAAGAGGGAGCGGGGGGGACGAGAGCACGACGGTGCGGAAGGATAAGGGCAAGCACAAGCGGGTCCCTATCCTGACCGAACAGCGGGAAGGAAGGCACCGGCCGTTCACCGGTATATTTGCGCGGAGGAAGCAACACCAAAGTTCTCACCAGTTGAGCGGGGCAACATGGGGAGGTTGGCTGTCCGTAGTTCGAGCGCCCAAGGTGACAAGCTTAACCATGACGTTTCCATCGTCCGCGGTACCTTGCAAGCACTGTCCCCACCGCCACCGCGCTACTTTCGCTGACTAGCTTGAGCGGCGAAACGCTCGTCAAGTCAAAGCTGTCGACCGTAAACTGTAACAAGCGGCAGGGGAGGGAAATCTCGCTCCAAAACGGCCATCCACCACCCTCTCACGCGACACTCGTTTTCACGAAGAAAGTACCGTTTCACCGCACGAGCTTAAGAACGGCGCCCCTTTGGTCTGATCGGAAGATTGTGGATCCGGACCGCGGTGCCTGCCACCCCTGTTGTACATCTCTCGCACCTTTTGCCGGAAGGCGACCCCGCATCGCCCACCACTCTGCCAAGGCGCACCCGCGACCGCGCACACGAGACAGCAGTCACCCCGTTCTCGGCGTCGTGCTCCTCGACCAAGTGCTCGTCGTCGCAGGGCTCCGCAAAGCTGGAAAACGTGAATAATGGATATGTTATCATGCGTGTGTGAGTGAAAGTGATCAGAAAAAGGACGTGGCGGCGGCGGGCAGCACGGTAAGGCTTTCGGTCAGGCTAGCGGTCAGAAGTGGCACCGCAGAGCAGACGCAGCGCCGCGATGACGAGACAACCCAGAGTGGGGTGGTTGGTAAGATCGAAAATCTTGAGTGGCCTCAGATGGTAACAGTAGTGAGGCCAAAGCCTGTAGAACGCGCCCCGCGGGGGAGCACAGACAGCAAGAAGTTCTCCATCTCATGAACAGCACGCAACTCTTCCCCACGACTATTAGAGGTTCGTGGGTGACTCGATCGACCCGAGGCTGTTGCAGTGCTATGAGACATGACGCCTCCTTTTTCACCTTGGACAGTCGTCCTCTGCTCTTGGCTCCAACTTCCAACCGGAGGTGAAGAGGGGCAGACCTCCCACGGCGCACGCGTAGAGGCCCTTCTCCCTTGTGTCGAAAACAACCCCCCCGAACAAACCGCCCGTCATCAAAAGGGCCGAACGAGGAGAGGAGGAAAAAACGGCCGTGAGAGGCAAAAATGTTCTTGACATCACGGCATGAACTATTTCCGAGGGCGTTGTATGCGTCGAGTCCCGTACGATTTCCCCCATCTTTTATCACCACCATGCCGGCCCGCGGAACGTTCAAGCACAAATACACGCACCGCATTGGCCAGGGCTGTGGGACCCTCCCCTGCCCCCGCCCCCGCCCCCGAACGAAAAAAGTGTTTGCAGCGGCAATCACTGAAAAAGCAAAAAAAAATCTCGGGAACGGCGATCTTGCTCCGAGTCCCTCACGAGATATTGCCTACCACTATATATCTAGCCCAGCAGGCTCCTTCGCCCTGCCGATCTTGCCCGCAACACGCCGCCGAAAGTACTGCTGGGGCAACGTGGGAGCGCGCCTGCACTAAAATTATTTTTCTCTTTTTTCACCTATGGTCGCGCCAGCCTCGACTTTCATCGTCGTCGTCGTCATCATTGTAGTTGTTGCCGTGATCGTGCCGAGCTTGAGAGCTTTGTCTGTCGTCTTCCATGGCTCCTCCGAACAGCATCGCCTCTTGCCTGGGCGACAGATGAGAGGCCGCCGCTTTCGTCTTTTCGGATCAACATGGTGTGAAACGCGACGTACGAGGAAGGGACGGCGCGGACAAACCCAAAAAACAGCGTCGGTGAGGACCCCGGTGTAGAGCATGGCACGCGGGTTGAAGAGTTAGCTGGTGCTCCAGCTACAAAGGCAAAGATAGGACGTGGAGTAGCTGCTGCTGGGCAAGATACTCGCTGCACGAGTACCTCTGACAAATAGTGCGGGAGACGGCGAGGTGCTTTCGTATTTATGCACACAACCCTGCAGCTACTCGTTGGTAGGGTAAGGCCATATGGATTCGATCATTGCTGCGAGTAAATCGGTCGCCGCTTGGATCTTGTGGTGGCCGGCTGGATTAGCAAAAGAGGTACTGATGTTTGGATGCAAGCACGTATATGTACGTGCATACAATCGAAATCTGCCTTCGCGCTTAGCAACTTCGCTGAACTTGAAATAAAAAAAGTGTGAACCATCTCACTTCTGACGGGGTGAAAGGCGTCAGGTCATGCTGGCTTTTGGACAGCTTCGTGAACCTCGTTGCGAGGTACTCGTCTCGAGTTGTGAGCTCCTGGAAGAGAGCGCATCAATCAACGGCGCGTGCGGCAGTGGTCGGCACGGGTCAAGGGGGGGCGGTGAGGGGGGCGAGATCAGAGAACAAGGTGGAGTAATTCGTGTGGCCGCTCTGCTCTCAAGGGATGTTTCCACAGCAGTTTCCACAAGCGACCCGTGCAACGTTCACCCATCATGTTTTTCTCTTCAGATCTGAGACAGAAGCTCTCGTCGTCCGCGAGTCTACCTGCTGTACTGAAGTACTGCTTGTAGTGCACGCACCGCCTGCTGTTCGATGCGTGTGTAGGAGTACGCTAAACTCATATTCTCTAGGAAGGATTGACTCTTGGCAAAGAAACGATGCGCGGAAGCGAAGGGAGACCCCCTCGCAATACCCCCTCGCAACCATGGCATCAAAACTGAACGCACAACATCTGTGCTGCAACCCGAAACATGCGCAGAACGCAGGGTTCTGGAAAAGCTTGTGCTGGCTGCAATGAAGTTTGAAAACCTTCATGTACATCAACCGGGGCCCAGAAGGATGAGGAAGCACACGGAAAGTATACAGGAAGCGAAGGCCAATGCGTAGGGTGCATCGGGAGAACTACCTAATAATGGCGTGGGTGGACTCTGCTTGCCTCTTTGATTCCCTTGCGAGCGATCTCGTCGTCCATGCGCAGCGGGGAGACGCGCCGCCGCCGAGCGACGTGTTGGTGAGATATTCCTTTCGTGGCAGGAGTAAATGTGTATGCACTCGAGTAGAGAAAGACGCCCAACAGAAGAACTACGACGAAGGCCTGTGCACGTGCCATCGCGCACCGCACCACTAGGCGGGAGTGCGCCTGTGTGGGAGAGACACACAGCTGGTCAGGTTGTATGTAGCAGCCGAGATTTGGAGCAAGGGGGCCGGTGGATAGAACTACAGGCTATGCACCAAGACTGCTATGTGCGGAGCCGCTAGTCAGCCCCGACGGCGAGCCAGTCCCACCTCAATACACTAGCTAGGTTAGTTAGCATTATCGAGAGATAAAAAGAGTGCAACCTGCTGGACAAACGATGATCATCCGAGTACGGACGCATGCAGGGGTTTGGCGGGTGAACGACGTGGCGCCGGACACGACGATCAAGGAGCTGAGGCAGAGGCTGAGCACGGAGCACAACGCCAACCTGTCGGACGACACTCGGCAACCCTTGACGCTAAAGCCGAACCCCCGGGGGGACCAGGATACGCTGGCCCTGGAGTCGACGCTGCAGTCGCTGGGACTAGGGCACGGAGACATGATCCACCTCAACCTCGATGAAAGCATACGGGATATGGCGCACGAGGTAGGGATGCTACGACCTCCTGCTGGTTAGTCCGAGTCTGTTTTGTGTCAGCTCCCGTGTGTCTCCGCAAGAATGCTGTGTGTACTCGTGGCCGCATTGCTGCTGCTGCTCCCTGGGTGCTCTTTGCTGCGTCGTTGCTTTGGACCGGGCCCCCTTGATGCACTTACATTGCTTACGAATTGTCGGACGTAGCCAGCACCCGCTGTACCAATGGGAATGCCTTTTGTGTTCCTTCTGTCGAAGACGATTTTTTGAATTCGCGAAGTTGCAGTTCTGCACAAACAGACCGACACATGTCCGTTTCGACGAAGAGTCGTTTTGTTCTTGTGAGGCCGGTTGCTGATTGCTAACCATGCCAGTATTTGCCTGCTGCATGTCCCGTAGTCGTGCATGAGTCCGAATCCTACGTGTTTGTTCGTCTGAAACACAATAGTTGATCCAGAATAGTCGCAGCAGCCACAAAGCTTTCGCCGGGGATGTGCATAATCAATTGTGGATACTATTTCAGTCCCAGCGCCCACCCCCCGCGTCCCGCGTGTGGTGTGCGTTATTTCCACAGTTGTTGCGCAGCAGCAGCAGCAGCAGCAGCAGCAGCAGCAGCAGTATCTTGTGGGTTCGAGAGGGGTTACCTCTCGCTCAACGTGGTAGAAACCTTTGCACTGTACCACCACACACCACGCACCACACACCCAGAAGTGACAAGACCTACTCCACCTTACCGGATGCAGACGCTCCTGCAGCACTGAAGCACCCGCGAACTGCTGCTGTTCCACCCTTTGCTTCACGCAAGGCAGAGTTGTGTAGTCGTTGAAGGTGAACCTCGCGTCGCGAGTGGTGCAGCACGGCGCCAACAACGCTTACACGCGAGCGCACGACAACGAAAAAAACAATGTTACTCCTCGCAGGAGGCCGGAGGGCCGAAGCGAATCAACAAGGACGGCACCATCGAGCAGCAGTCGTTCGACGAGATCTCCAACAAGACGGGCTTCCGACCAGGAATGATGAGCCTCAGAAGGTGCGTATACCCGCTACCCTAGGCTGCCTTTTTTGCAGCACCCTTCGCAAGGATGTTGAGCTTGGTTTTAGTTTTGTAGGGGGTGTGGGGTAGGGGTAGGGGTTTGGGGTTGGGGATACGAAACCCCCTCTCTCTATTTTCAGAATTACTGCTGTAGCGATACCATGCTCGCGAATGCGGCCCGCCTGTCTGCTGTACCTCTGACAGCGGTGCGGGTGCTTGTCTTGGCTGTAGCTTGGATCCGACGTGTTTGGTGGACCTATGAAGTTTTGAGAGGCGTGCTTGCGTTGGGTTACCGCGTTTTGGGGTGTCTGTCCGGCACGAGATGGGGTCTGATGCCGTGAGTTTGATTCTCTTGAGACTGAAGCGTCGATGCTGGTTTTCGAGATCCTACCCCGACTGGCACACAACAGCAGTCGATGAGTACTTGTAGAAGACTTTTGTCGTGTGTCGTCGGTTAGCGTCTCAGAGCAGAGAGGGAGCGGAGAGTATGCCCTCGCGGCTCACACACCCAACCTCGGATTACGCCGTGGGGCGCAACCGTCCGCTCAATCAGGCGTCGCGAATACTCGAACCGACACAAAACCGTCACTTTGGGAGGGACCTACCTCCTAGCCTCCTAGTGGCTCTCCCCCCCCTCCCTTGTCTGCCCCTCTCATCTCAACGGAGACCATGGAACCCTTCCCCCCCCCCCCCCTCCCCCTCCTGTCCTCAAACGTTCTCTCTGGTACGCCCGCGTGTCTGTCCACTCTGTCGTGCCTCTGAAATGCTGCCTGTGTGGCTGTTTTTTGTTTCGTTTAGCATGAAGATGAAGTGGACCCTGGCGGACTTCACGGAGATGAACGACCAGTTCACCTTCCGCCTCAAGAAGCCCGAGAAGGGTGTGTGCACCAAGGTCAGCCTCGACTCGGCGGCCTGCAACAGCTTCCAGTCCTTCGTCAGACAGTTCGGCTTCCACCGAGCGAGGTAAAGAACCGCTCTGGGTCCGTTGTGTGTTCTGTGTGTGTGCATGACGCAGGGAAACGCGGCTGTGGAACGCGCTGGAATGCTGGGAGAGTTGTGCATTGCCTGTCTTCTTTAGTGGGCTCGGTTCCGATAAAGTATCGTGTAACATATTGTTTTGGGTGCCTCGGCACGCATCGCGATGTTTTTGTTGCTGCTTTGTCTTCTCCATCCACTGAGGCCATCAGTAGGGGGCTGCAGGCCACCGCCGTTTCTCTCGCTTTCTGGGGAGTTTGCGCTTCTGATCGCCACAGCCGCCGTCTCTCTTGTACTGCTGTATCGTGCGTCTGCCTGCAGCTTCCGTCTCTTTCGAGTGACAACTTTCCCTTCGCCTTCCTTCCTCTTCTCGTGTCGTGATTTTGTCGCTGTTTTTGGCCTCTGTTGCTGCTTTCTATCCCCCTGGGGTGGCAAACGTGATGTGACATGACAGGATGGGTTATCTCTACGGGCACTTCACGGACGACGACACCAAGGTACAGTAGGTCGGCCCATCAAGTCAGTGTCACCCTCAGAGGAAAAAACACGGAAACGTTCCCAACACGACGCCCGCGTTTCCTATCCATGTCTCCGGGTCGAAGCTGGACACACACTGCTGCCGTGATTCAAGAATGTAGGGTGGCAGCTGCAAGGGTTGCATAGCAAAATTCGATCGAATCGTATTTCGACGCGGTGGTCAAAAGCATCTGAACTGGCTCAACGCTTGTCGAAAACTTCGCACATCAAAACGCACAAGGGGCAAGCAGTCTTCCTCGGTATCCTCAGCTTGATCTCGGTTCTTATGGTTGTTTGTTTGTTCAGGTCCGTGTGGAATGCGTGTACGAGCCCCCACAGGAGAATTACCCGGAGGGGTTCCAGGTGTCGGAGGACCCAAAGGCCGACACGGTGGAGGCGTTGGCGGGACTGTTGGGTCTCAAGAGGGTGAGTGGCAGGGACGGACGGGGGAGAGGAAGCGGGACGGGTGAGGGGAAGAGGAAGGGGGAGAAGAAGAGAGGGAGGGAAGGAGAACGAAAGAGGTGTGTACAAAAAGAGGTGTGTACAAGTACACAGAGGTAGACAGGGAGGGGGGGAGAAATGTTGGTGTGTCTTGCGGGCTTCTAGGGACAAGAGAGAGAGACAGGAGGGCATGTTTCACGCGGGGTAGAGTAGGGTAGGGTAGGGGGTGTTGGTTGGCGGCGCTCGGGTGCTGGCGCTGCTGCTGCTGCTGCTGCTGCTGCTGCTGCTGCTGCTGTTGCACTTACCACGTAACGAAGTATCCCTGGCCTCCATCACGGGTTGACCTTACCTTGCTATAAAATACCTTGGCTTTGGCCCGGGTTGATTTATGTTCCATGGAATATTTTCCATGGGACGGCTTACGGCGACGCAGAGCGTGCGAGGGAGACCAGCCCCTACAGCATGCAACACGAGTTGTACCTAGCTTTAGGTTTTCGTCTTGTCATCGTTTCGTCTGCATGGAAACCAGTAACAATGCAGCAGTAGCTGCCAAATACCCCCCCCAACTGCTTTGGCTTGCCCTTGGCTGCACGGACCGCATCGCGTTGCTAGCGCCCCCCCCCCCCCTGTGTCTCCATTGGCAATGTTTGAGTTGGATACACCTCCCGGTGCCTTCAACCCCCTCCGAATGCTTCCGAAAACCGCCTTTTGCTGCTTGGCACTAAATGTACCAATGCGGTGCGGTACGGTCCCGATACTTTAATGGTTTTGTTTTGCGTCAAGGTGGGGTGGATTTTCGCGCACCCCCCAAGGGAAGAGGGCTTCCTGTTCAGCTCCGCGGAAGTGGTCACGGCGGCCACGCTGCAGCTAGAGGCGGCGGACGGGGTCAACGACACCCCCTTTGTCACCGTCAAGGCAAGCGAAGAGAGCGGACAGTATAGTTGGCTACTGCCGTTGTCGATGGTGATTTGTGATTGCTTGTCAAGCTTTCGTTGAGGTGGGCTGGTTGGCTGATGGGAGTTAGATTTGTAGTTCGTCGGAAGTCAGGCTAGCTGTTCAGCCTGTGGTTTCTAGCGCCTACATTTTGCACCTCGTGTGTGTGTGGGTATTGTAGCGCGATGTGGGTGTGTTCGGCTGCTACGCGGACGTTGCGTACGCCGGGGAGGGCACGGCGCGCCTTTTGCATCGTTTTGGCGCACCTTATCTGCGCCGCTGACCGCCTTTTGAAGATTCCGAAGCATGACCTGCGTGACTGACGTCTGGTGGTGGAGGGCGAGTGAAGTGAGGAGGGTGCTCGTTCCTCCCGTAGATGTTGCTGTTGGTGCTGCCGATCCTGCGCTCGTGTCGTTGTTGTTGCTATCGTTGACGATGATGCTTGTTGCTGCTGCTGCTGCTGCTGTTGTTGTTGTTGTCGACGTTTTTGTCGCTGCTTTTGTTGTCATTGTTGTTGCTGCTGCCGTTGATGATGATGTTCTGCTGTTGCTGACGTTGCGTTTGATGATGCGTCGGTTGCCGTGCAGGTCACGGCGGAGGAGGACGGTAGCGCACATTTCGACGCCTTCCAGGTGTCTAAGCAGTGCATGGAGATGGTGGCCGAGGGGGCGTTGGAAGTCGGTGAGAGTTATTGCAGGAGTTAGGGGACACACCGAGGGGCAGCGCAGAGAGGGGGGGAGAGGAGGGGATACGGCTGGACGAAGGAAGAATGTTACACATTTCGGTGTCAATGGTTCGGTCGTGCGATATACAAGCCGTGTCGCATTAGAAAACGGTGCAATTGTAGGCAGTGGTATGTATACGTCTTCGCCGTTTCGCGCAGCCCGCGCACGGAGTAGGGTGAATGGGAGACACGCGCCTGAGATTTGTCGCTGCTGATTTTCGCCAAGACATGTGGTACGTGGTTTTCCGGACTCGGGTGTGTCGTTCTTTTCATCACGCCTTGTCCTGTCGCACGTTTTTCCATCCACAGGCGAGAATCCTGGGCACTGCATGGTGCCGAAGACGTTCACGGCGATCGTTGAGATGAAGGAAGCGAAAGAGGTCAGAAATGTCCCAGCAATAATCTACCGTTTTTGACCAAGCAGGTCGTCGCAGCGGGCTTCACGTCGAGCAGAAGTCTAGCTAGTTTGTACCGTTGTTGGGAAACGACTTGAGGATTTTGTTGGCGAATACCGCACAGTTTTGTTAGGGTTTCGCTGGAGTCGTAACGATAGCGACTTCCAAGAGTCCTGTCATCGTTTGATTTTTGTCTCCGAAATATTTTGACTTCCTGTCCAAGGCCGAAAGTAATCTGGCGGTCGCCTCCTCCTCCGCTTACTTTTTACAACAACTACGGTGGTCCTGCCCTCATCGCGCACCCCCCCCACCCTTCCCCCCCTGCGATCATTGCCACTAACACACACCCGTCCGCGGGGCCCCGTCCTCCGACGGACTGTCAAACCAAAAAAAGGTGGACACGACGATGTTTCTGAACACGGTCCCGATCGAGCAGCACGAGAGCGCCAAGTTCCTGCACGACTTCCCCCGCGCCAACCGCGACGGCGTCATGCAGACGTGGGACGACGTCAAGCGGCAGCTGGGGAGGGCCGGCGGGCAGGGGTTCACCTACATGGACGTCCTGTCGGACTTCCACCTCCTCCTGTTCCTCACGGCATTTTTGGACATGGTGAGCATGGAGTTGTGGAGATGCGTGCGGTGACACGAGGGGAGCGAGACCGATCATGGCAACAAGTACTTGGTACCAAATATTACCCTGTCAACAGGTTTGCGGACCATGGCCGCAAGATCTGCAACAGCGTTGCAGCAAGCATTAGCAACTTTTTTATGACTGATTATGGATTTACTGATTTGTTGAATCAGTTGATACGGTGGGAGGGGGGGACGTTACAAGGAGCACATCGAAGCCGCGCCTACAGGCTCTAGTGGACGGCAGAGCGTCCGTAGATCGCGTGTGTCCCATCCTTCCGTCAAGCACTGTCCTGTAGCCTCGCTGTGGTGTGTTTTACATGACCCATCCAGCACAAGTGCCAGGGCGATACTTGCGCTCGTTAGGTTTCCTGTCTTCCGTATGCCATCCGAAACCTTCCGTGTACATGCTGTCCAAATGTTTGTTCCTCCGCCTTTCGTGGTAAATCCGCCCGTCTGCCACCGCTGCTGCTGCTGCTGCTACTTGTGCATGTTTCCAGCAAACCGACATGCCAAAGATTTGCGATTCCGTCGTGGACAGAGAGAAGCCGCTAGACGACGGTTTCAAGTTCTTGATCAACAACTTTGCCGGACTAGACGCGTGAAGAGGACACCGCTTTTTTTTTTGTAGACGGTAGCGCTCTCCCCGGGGGTGAGGGAAACCAACGCCTTAGCAACGTGAGAGAGATGTCGAGAGTTTGGGAGGCGGCTAATTGTGTACTAACCTGATCGGCATCTCGATGGAGAATCTGGTAGTAACTTGGACTTCTGTCGGCCGATGTGGAGCTTCGAGGAGTGGAGGATACGCTAGCTCTCATGTTGTGCAAGGTGCAGACAGTGGCGCGCTGGTGCTATGTCCTCTTGTTTTGGTGCAGGAGACGTGAGACAGGAGAGAACTGCGGAAGACGAATGACAACAACAGCAGTGACAACCCGAACGTTCACGAAGTCCATCGATTGCGTTCTTGATATTGAACCCCTCAATCAGACACACTGCTGTATTTGTCACGCACGTTTGGTTTGTGGTCTGTGTGTTTTTGTCATGTAAGAGGTGCTTGTGTCAACACATGTTTTTTCTGTGCTTCCTGGTTTGACATCTCTCTGTGGTCCATGTCATTCTGTACCGTGTGTAGTCTGCGGTGTTGTAAGGAGAACAATAGGCGGTGTGTCGAGAGGAGACGAACCTGTTCTATCCAGTTTTCCTTCTACGGCTGTGTCTCGTGTCTGCTTGAATCGTCTCGCGCTGCTATTGCTGCGCTGCTTCCGCTGTTGTTACCGCCGCCCCTGCCGGGGCGAACACGGTTGTTCGGTGTTGGTCATCTCCGTCGTCTGTACGGCAGCCGCAAGAGTCACACTCTTGTCGACGAAATTGTCCCCACCCCATCTGCTGTGCGCCTTGCTATTACAGCAGCACCGATCACTTGTAGAAATCATCGATCGGGGGTCTTTAGTAGGTCATTAGCCCATGTCAGTGGTGGCATCAACTAGGGGGGGGGGGGGGGGGGGCCCCTTTAAACGGGTTCCCCTTTCCCCGGGGCCCCCCCAACCCTTGGGAGGGACCCCGGGAAAAAAATCCTACCAAACCCAACCGGGTTTTTGCTTTTTCCCCGGAAAAAACCCTTTTTTTAACCCCCCTTACCCTTCCAACCGAAAAAAAAAAAAACCCCCCTCCCTCCCCCAATTGTAAAGCCAAAAAAAAACCCCCCCCCCCAATTTCCCCTTTTCCTTTTGTTGGCCAGGTTTACCGTTCCCCCCCAAAAAAACAAAAAAAAAGTCCAAGGAAGGGGGATTTAAAAAAGGACCGGTTTTACCCTCCCCTCCCCCAAGTCTTACCAAAAAAGGAAAAAACCCCCCCGGACTTTCCCCAAAAACATCTCCCCCGGGAAAGGGTTTGGGGTCCCCCCAACCCCTGCCCCCCAGCTAAACCCAAAAAAAAGGCCTTTCCCACCCCCCCAAAAACCCTTCCTGGGCCTTAAAACCACGGGCCCGCCTTTTGCCCCCCCCAAAAACCCCAAAAAAACCCCCCCTGGGGACCGGGGTGTTCCACCCAAAACCAAACATACC